GTTTTTCAGCTCCATCAATTCCCTTATATTCCTTTCTATTTTGTCCATTCTCCTTAGCATTTTGTCAAATCTTTTTTCAAGGTTCTTAGTTTCTTTGCATTGGGTTAGATCATGTTCTTTTAGTTCACAGAAGTTTCTTACTACCCACCTTCTGAAGTCTGATTCTGTCGTTTCATCACAGTTGTTCTCCATCCTACCTTGTTCTCTTGCTGGTGAGGAGTTGTGATCCCTTGTACGAGGAGAGGTGTTCTGGTTTCGGGTGTTTTCATCCTTTTTGCGCTGGTTTCTTCCCATCTTTATGGATTTATCCACCTGTCGTCTTTGTAGTTGCTGGCTTTCAGATTGGGTCTCTGAGTGGACGTTCTGTTTGTCGATGATGAGGTTATTTCTGTTTCTTAGTTTCCCTTCTAACAGTCTAGCCCCTCTGCTGTAGGTCTGCTGAGGTACACTCCAGGCCCTGCCTGCCTGGGGATCACCTGCAGCAGCTGCAGAACAGTAAGCATTGCTACCAGTTTTCTTCTTCTGCTATCTTTGTCCCAGAAGGATACCCACCAAGTATCAGCCTGATCTCTCCTTTATGAGGTGGCTCCTTGGATATGCAGGGTTCAGGGAGCTGCTTGAGGAGACAGTCTGTTCTTTATAGGAGCTCAAATGCTCAGCTATGAGCTCCGTTGTTCATTCAGAGCTGCTGGGCAGGTAGGTTTAGGTCTGCTGCAGCAGAACTCATAAACCACTTTTTGTTCCCAGGTGCTCTGTCCCAGGGAGTTGAGGCTTTATTTATTAGTTTCTGTTGTGCTGCTGCCTTCTTTTTTTTTTTTCCTTCAGAGCTTCCCTGCCCAGCGAGGAGGCAGCCTAGTCACTGTCTGCCTGTAGAGGCTTTGTTGAGCTGCTGTGGGCTCCGCCCAGCTGCCCAGTGAACTTCCCTGCAGTCCTGTTTATATGGGTGTTGTTAGAACTGCCTGGGCAGTGGTGGCCCACCTCTGCCATGGAGGACTCTTTCTGTAGTGGCGGGTTGCCTTGGCAAAGGCGGGCTGCCTCAGCGTTGGCTATCTCCCTAGTGGTGAAGTGTCTCAGTAATGGCGGATGCCCCTCCCCCACAGAGCTGGACCATCCCGGGTTCAGCTGTGCTTGCTGTGAAACTCTCAATCTAGAGAGTTTCTGATTGCTGTTCTTTTGTCGGGGTGGGACCAGCTGAGCCTGATTGCCTGGCTCCCTGCCGGAGAGCCTTTTTTTTTTAGTTGGTGTTCCAGTCGCCTGTTGAAGAGGTGCCGGGATCTGTGTGTTTTCCCGTGTGGCCACTCAGTGCGCTGGCTTAAACAGCGGCATTGAGATTCGTGGCACTTTTTTTTGCCCTGGAATCTACTGTCCTGGTTCCCTGTTCAGTCCCCTTTTTAAACATATGATTGGGTGACTTCCCATGGCTCTAGTCGCCAGCCAAAAGGGCACCCGGACCAGTGTATTTTGTACGGAGAACCGCTGTGCCGGCGCGCTGATAAAGCAGCCGCGCGGGGCAAAGCAGCGGCGCTGGCCGACACAGCCGCGCTGGCCGAAACAGCCGCGCTGGCCGAAACAGCCGCACTCCGACCTGTGGGGCTTCTCTGCCTGGAAATCTCCTAGTCTGTGGGCAATAAAAATGCGGCGTCCACTCACCCTCTGCACTTCCACTGGGAGCTGCAATCCTGAGCGGTTCCTAAACGGCCATCTTGGATCGATCTCCCAGAACATATAATTTTCTATGGAAAATGTGATTAGAGAAAAGACCTGAGCTTATACAAGCATTTCCGTGTTTATTAACTTGGGAATTAGAGAAAATCTCAGATAAATTTCTTAATGTCTAGCAAAAAAACTAGTCTTTTTGCTTTCATTTTGATTCCTTATGTCCATTAGTCATACAGTTGCAAGATGGGCTTTTTAAAATATAAAACTGTCTTCTCTCTTACTTGAATAAGTTACATAATCTCAGCCTCAGCTCTCATCTAGAAAATAGGGAGAGGTATGTGGGATTATTCAGAAGAGTAAATTTGAAAAATATAAGTAAAATATTTTATACATTGTTGAGCTCCTTAGGTGTTTAATAGGGGTTATGTAATAATTATGTATAAGGCAAACCCCTTACTGTGACAAATAAGGTTCTTTATTATGCTGTCTATACTGCCTTATTTTCAGTACCCCTATCTTATGTTCCACTTGTAAAACCAGTTAATATTTCCCACTTGGCATTTGCCCTGTGATTTCCAGTTCTCCAGTTTGACGTCTCTCTGCTTGTACCTTAATACTGCTTGTTCTCTCCGTTCTCACGGAATCATTCATAGATGTGTATTATAGCATTTTCTACCATATTGCAGTTATCTCTTTTCTTGTTAGTTTCCGTTACTACTCTATGAGATTGTTGAGGGTAGATCTGGTGTATTTTTATTTTTGTCTTCTTGTTCCTGGTAACTGTAGCCATGTAATTGAATGGTTGGTAAATATTTGTTTAATTGAATACATGAATGAATGAACAGATGAATGAAAAGGAGTGGGGAGTAGTTATTAAGGGAAAGGATTTTGGGGCCTGTGTTTATCTCCCAGCTCTGGATTTTACTCTCTTTGTGACCGTCAATGTGTTACTTAATTTTTTTGTGTCTTCTTTTCTCCACATATAAAATGGGACTAACAGTAGTATTTACTTTGCAGGGTTATAGTGAGGATTTAGATAAGTTAATATGTGTCTAAAGCCCTTAAAATAGTACATGACTCATAGTAAGCTCTATTTAGGTGTTAGCTGCTGGTAATATTTTTATTTTCCTGATGATTCAGAACCCATAGCATCTTTTTTTTTTTTTTTTTGGATTGAATTTTGCTCTTGTTGCCCAGGCTGGAGTGTAGTGGTGCGATCTCAGCTCACCACCACCTCTGCCTCCTGGTTCAAGCGATTCTCCTCCCTCAGCCTCCCGAGTAGCTGGGATTACAGGCATGTGCCACAACCCCTGGCTAATTTTGTATTTTTAGTAGAGACAGAGCTTCTCCATGTTGATCAGGCTGGTCTTGAACTCCCGACTTCAGGTGATCCACCGGCCTCAGCCTCCCAAAGTGTTGGGATTATAGGCATGAGCCCCTGCGCCCAGCCCAGAACCCATAGCATCTTTACCGTGATGAATAATATTATCTTTATGTACTGCAAACTTTGAATTTTAAGATAATGTTCAAATCATAAACATTGTTTTATATGATCTGGATTCTTTCTTTTTATAGGGCTCTATGGAGCAAGTCAGTTCTCATTTCTTGGAGCAGACCCTTGACAAGAAGCTGATGTCAGATCTGAGGGTACCTTCTATACTTTGTTGTTTAAACTGGGTTTCTGTAACCAATATGGAGTATGCTGAGTTGTGTTGATTTAATTTGGCAACATTTGTTAAATTAATGTGTGATAACTATATTACATTTTAATTTAAAATCTTAGTAAATTGAACCAAATAACAAGTGACTTCATTAAATTTTGTGTTACTGTAATGAAATACTTTGCCCAGGTTATACTTTACAAAAAAGAGGCAAGATTAATTTTCTAAGCCAGGCGCAGTGACTCACACCTGTAATCCCAGCACTTTGGGAGGCTGAGGCAGGCAGATCACCTGAGGTTAAGAGTTCAAGAGAAGTGTGACCAACATGGTGAAACCCCATTTCAACTAAAAATACAAAAGTTAGCTGGATGTGGTGGCCCGTGCCTCTAGTCCCAGCTGCTTGGGTGTTTGAGACAAAGAATTGCTTGAGCACTAGAGGCCAGAGGTGCAGTGAGCCAAGATCGTACCACTGCACTCCAGCCTGGGCAACAGAGTGGAACTCTGTCTCAAAAACTAAACAAACAAACAAACAAAAAACCCTAGGAAACTCAAAAGATTAATTTTCTATTTGTTAGGAACTACAAAGACCTATTCTCATTTTGTGAGATGGTATGACATTTTTGGACTTCTTTTTAGCAGCAGTTCCCATGAAAGACTGAATAAAGCCCTTCTCCAAATAGTAACAAAATACCCTCTACTCCGAGCCTTTTTTCTTCCTTTTTTTTTTTTTTTGGAGACAGGGTCACAACTGTATTGCCCAGGCTGGAATTCAGTGGCACAGTCATAGCTCACTGCAGCTTTGATCTCCTGGGTTCAAGCATTCCTCCCACCTCATCCTTCCTGAGTAGTTGGGACTACAGGCATGCCCCACCGTGGCCAGCTAATTTTTTTTATTTTTAGTAGAGATGAGGTCTTGCTGTGTTGCCCATACTGGTCTTGAACTCCTGAGCCCAGGCAATACTCCTGCCTCTGCCTCCCAATGTGTTGGGATTATAGATATGAACCATTGTACCCGACCCCAAATGCCTCTTAGGAAATGCCCTTAAGCCTTGATTGTGATGATTCACTAACCTGGTTAGCAGAACCAGATTTGAGTCTGAGAAAATAATAAGTACATTCATTGTCAGTACCTCAATTTCGAAATGATAAAAGTGATATTATAGAGTTGTAGAATTTTTGATAAGGGAAAGGAAAACAATTTACCCATATGTTTACTACCCTAATATAATGACTTTGGTCATTTTGGTATATGTCTCTCAGCTCTTTTTCTTGTGCATGTTTTTTTTTTTTTTTTTTTTTTTTTTTTTTTTTTTTTTTTTTTTTTTTTTTTTTTTTTTTTTTTTTTTTTTTTTTTTTTTTTTTTTTTTAGTTTAGTTTTGTTTTGTTTGAGACAGAGTCTTGCTCTGTCGCCCAGGCTGGAGTGCAGTGGCGTGATCTTGGTTCACTGCAACATCTGCCTCTTGGGCTCAAGTGATCCTCTCACCTTGTCCTCCTGAGTAGCTAGGATTACAGGTGTGTACCACCACACTCTGCTAATTTTTTGTAGTTTTTGTAGAGATGGGGTTTCATGAGAGGCTGATATATAAAGCAGAGTGCCAGGTCATTCATTTGTGATGAGAAACATAACTGTCAAGTAGACTGGATATTTACTTTTCACCAACCAGTATATTCTACCTTAGGCAATCTTTGTGTAAAGTGAGTTTACTAGATTATTTAGTGACTGTACTGTAGCTAAAATAGAATGCAATGTTGCCAAATAGAAAAATACTTTTACTGGGATTGAAGATAATTGTTTTTGTTTTTTATTTTGTTTTTTTGAGATGGAGTCTCACTGTGTCGCTCAGGCTGGAGTGCAGTGCCGTAATCTCAGCTCACTGCAACCTCTGCTGCCTAGGTTCAAGCAATTCTCCTGCCTCAGCCTCCCGAGTAGCAGGGATTACAGGTGCCTGCCACCATGCCCAGCTAATTTTTGTATTTTTAGGAGAGATGGGGTTTCACCATCTTGGCCAGGCTGGTCTTGAACGTCTGATCTCGTGAGCCACCATGCCCAGCTGAAGATAACTGTTTTCTTAGAGTCAATGTATTGTCTACCTAAGATGGTGTTTGGAAGGGCACTGCCATTATTTGTCTGTCTGGCTATCTCTTTCCTATGTTGCTGCTGCAGCAAACATAACCCATTTTTTTTTAACACATTCTTTAGCTATCTTTATTCTCTTTAATTAGGTACTTTTGGCTATTAAAGACCAGCTAGCCTTTGGTTACATTGTTAAGTTGAATTTGCATTTCTCTTGTATGAACTATTGATAATTTTTAAAAATGAAACTCATAGAGCAGTTTTGTTTTCTGCCTTCCCATGTTCTCAGGGTGCATCTTAGTGTTCCTTCATGAACCTCCTGTAATTGGTAATTGTTGTTGTCCTCTGCAGAGGAAACGTACCGCACATGAGCGTGCCAAGGAACTTTACAGTTCAGGGGAGTTTTCCAGTGGCAGGAAGTGGGGAGATGATGCTCCCAAGGAAGAAGTAGATACTGGGGCTGTGAACTTGATTGAGTCGGGAGCTTGTGGAGCTTTTGTTCATGGGTTGGAAGATGAGATGTATGGTAAGTATGACTGTATAATAGCAATAGCACTCTTTTATTGATTGACTGCTATGTCTCAGGCGTTGTACTGTGTGATATACATGTATTGTTTCATTTAGTTTACACACTAACTCTGGGAAGTACTTACTATGATTTTTATTTTACAAACAGAAGAGGCTGAGATCCAGGTAGTATGAGACAGTGGTTAAGAGCAAGGGATTTGGGTTTAGTCAATCTGTATTTAAATTCCAGCATTTTTATAAAACAGGGATGATAATAACTATCTTTCTGAGTTGTGAGAATTAAATGAGGTTTAAAAATGAGTGTATAAAAAGCACTTGGTATAATACATCACCTATTTATAATAAGCTCTTAATAATTGGTAATTAAAATTGATTTTAATAACAATAATAACATGATGTCACTCACCTAGCTAGGAAGAGACAGAGGCAAGATTTAAACCTAGGTATGTCTGACTCCAAAGCCATTATGTGATTGATGAATATTTTATTTCACCTTCATTTTTGAAAGATATTTTGGGCCAGGCATGGTGGCTTACACCCGTAATCCCAGCACTTTGGGAAGCTGAGGCTGGACGATCACTTGAGGCCAGGAGTTCAAGACCAGCCTGGTCAACAACATGGTGAAACACTGTCTCTACTAAAAATACAAAAAATAGCTGTGTATGGTGGCATGCACCAGTAATCTCAGCTACTAGAGAGTCTCAGATACAAGAATCACTTGAACCCAGGAGTCAGAGGTTGCAGTGAGTACTGGGATTGCACCAACGCTCTCCGGCCTGGGCAAGCAACAGAGTGAAACTCTGTCTCAAAAAAAATCAGTAAAATAAATATAGAAAAATATTTTTGTGGGAATGAAATTCTAGATTAATAAGGTTTTTTTCCCCAAGAGTTTTATTTTCTGAGACAAGGTCTCACTCTGTCACCTAGGCTGGAGTGCAGGTGTGATCACAGCTCGCTGAAGCCTTGACTTCCTGGGCCCAAGCAGTCCTCCCACCTCAGCCTCGTGAGTAGCTGGAACCACAAGAACGTGCCACCATGCTTGGCCAATTTTTTAATTTTTTGTAGAGACAGGGCTTCACTATATTGCACAAGATAGTCTTGAACTCCTGGGTTCAAATGATACTTTTGCCTTGGCCTCTTGAAATGTTGGGATTGCAGGCATGAGCCACTGTGCGTGGCCTCTACCAGCTTTTAAAGATATTGCTCCACAGTTTTCTATGTTGAGAAATCAGCTGGCATTTTTATCTTCCTCTGTATATAATGTGTCTTTATCACAAGGTGCTTTTAAGATTTTGCTTTATCACTGGTTTTAAGCAATTTGATTATGATATGCCTGGGTATAGTTCATGTGATATTTCTTTTGCTTGGAGTTTGTTGAGCTTCTTGAATCAGTGGTTTATGGTTTTCATCACAGTTGGAAACTTTTTTTTTTTTTTTTTTTTTTTTTTTTTTTTTTTTTTTTTTTTTTTTTTTTTCCATATTTTTTTTTTTGCTGGAGTGCAGTGGCATGATCTCGGCTTACTGCAACCCCTGCCTCCTGAGTTCAGGCAATTCTCATGCTTCAGGCTCCTGAGTAGCTGGGACTGCAGGCGCTCACCACCACCCCCAGCTAATGTTTGTATTTTTAGTAGAGATGGGATTTTGCCATGTTGCCCATGCTGGTCTCAAACTCCTGAGCTCAACTTATCTGCTGCCCACGTCAGCTTCCCAAAGTGCTTGGATTACAGGTGTGAGCCACCTCACCTGGCCACTATTATTTCTTTAAATATTTCTCTGGCTCTGTGGCCCTTTGGCAACTTTAATTACACATGCATTAGGAAACTGACATTGTCTTATAGCTCACTGATCTTCTTTCTTTTTTTTTCCCCCCAGTTTTTATTTTCTCTTTGTGTTTGATTTTATATACTATCTATTGCCTTGTCTTTGAATTCTTTAAGATATAATCTGATGTTAATCCCATCCAGTATATTTTTCATTTCAGGCATACAGTTTTTGTCTCTAGAAGTTTGATTTGAATTTGGGTTTTTTCCATCCTGGACCACATAAGGAGACCCTATCTCCACAAAAAATTTAAAATTAGACAGTCGTGTTTATGCACACCTATAGTCCCAGCTACTTGGGAGGCTGAGGCAGGAGGATTGCTTAAACCCAGGAGTTAGAGGTTGCAGGGAGCCATGATCACACAAGTGCACTCTAGCTTAGGTGACAGAGCAAGACCCTGTCTCAAAAACAGGAAGAAAGAATTTGGGTCTTTTTAGTGTCTAGCATGTCTTTCTTAACATACTTAATCTTTTTCTAGCTTTTTCAACAGATATGTTTATAATAACTGTCTTACTTCCTTGTTTACTAGGTCTATTTCTGTGATTCCTAGGTTGGTTTTGATATTTTTTCCTCTTCTATTATATTATCCTATGTATTTTCCTGTCTAGTAATTTTTAATTGGATTCCAGACATTGTAGATTTTACTTTATTGGATACTGAACATTATTTTATTCCTATAAATACTTTTGAGCTTTGTTCTGGGGTCCATTTTTTCAGGTCTTATTTTTAAACTTTGTTAAACAGGATTAGAGTAGCATTTAGCCTATGGCTTACTTTTCTCTACCACTGAAGCAAAAACCTCTTGTTTTTCACTACTTGAAGCAAAACCTCTCTTTTTTCTTTTCTTTCTTTTTTTTTTTTTTGAGGCAAGGTCTTGCTCTGTCGCCCAGGTTGGAGTGCCATGGTGCAATCATGGCTCACTGCAGCCTTGACCTCTTGGGCTCAAGTGACCCTCCCACCTCAGCTTCCTGAGTAACACAGGACCACAGGTGAGCACTACCACACCTGGCTAATTTTTATATATTTTGTAGAGACAGGGTTTTGCCATTTACGCAGGCTGGGCTTGAACTCCTGGCCTCAAGCAATCCACCACCTTGGCCTCCCAAAGTTTTGAGATTGCAGGCATGGACCATCACACCTGGTTGCAAAATTCTTCTAAGTAAACTGTGGTTTTATAGGCCCTGTGTGAGTTCCGGAGATTATTTCTTCTCATTTTTTTGGGTGGTTTTTTTCCCAGGACTCAGATGGTCTCTATCTCACAGATCAGAACTCAGCTGAATACTTGAGGTGACCATCTGCAGATCTCCCAAGCCTTCTGTCTCTCTGTGTAGTTCTCTCCTTTTCAGTAATTTGCCCTATGAACTCAGGCTACATTGGCCTTCCCAAACTCACAGCTCAGTCTTCTCAACTCAGGGAGAGAGGACCTAGTGCCTGGAGTCTCTCTAAACTAAATTGCTATAATCATTGAGATCACCTCATTTTCTTTTCCCATTCAGGGATTGCAGTCCTTTATTGCCAGATGCCCAGTGTCTGGAATGCTGTTGTTTCATATTATTTTGTCTCTGTCTCATCCTTGGAGGGTAAAAGCTGGTTCTCATTACTGTATCTTGTAATACACATCCCATAAAGCCCTTGTGATTCCCATATGCTATCTGTCTAACACAGATCCCAGAATTTCACTGCTTTGATATGATTGACTCGTCTGTTCATTATCAGCAAGTGTAACAGACCTAGCGAGATAATGTTAATTGTCCAAATTTTACAGTAAATTTGTGCCAGAGACCTGTGCCAGGTCTTAAAAATGTCTATAAAAACATACCTCAGGATAGAAAATACTTCTTAGAAGGACAAGAATGTTAATTTTGAAAGACAGTTTTTTATCGGTAGTTATAAGAATTGGGCTAGCCTATCATTTGTTCTAAAATGTTCCATATATAGAAACTAAATAAAGCTACCTGTGCTTTTTGATTCTCTATGAACTTAAAATATGAATTGCAAACCTATTTTACCCTAAAATGAATAACTGAAACCTATTTTGTTCCTATTAGCATTTTTGCTTTGTTTAGTTTCTGCAACTGAATTTCATCACTTTTAACATTTATATGATTTACTTATACAGTTTTCAGTTTGCCATTAAGATTTTTTTTTTTTTACACTGGTCATAGCATTAAAAGCTTTATTTTCTGTAAGCTGTAAACCAATCCCTTAAGAAAGTTTGGTTTTGACATGAAGACCATTTTTAAGGAAGCCTATTGTAAAAATTTTCTTTTTATTACAGCTAGCCTAATCACACACAAAATTTCATAAATCCTCCTTTACAAACCCTGTTGTGACTTACACAGACCATCTACAATATGCTTTCACACTGTTGTCCTATGTATATGTATGTAATCCCATCTACTCGAGAGGCTGAAGCAGGAGAATGGCTTGAACCTGGAAGGGGCAGGTTGCAGTGAGCCTAGACCATGCCACTGCATGCCTCCTTCTTACATGACTGGTTCTTTTACCCTAGGACAATAATTTACTACACAATATTCTTTTTTTTTTTTTTTTTT